GCTGTTGATGGAGGAGTGATGATGGCGATGATTACATATGACTTTTTTGACAATATGTAAATGTGTATATATTTACTCGAAAAAAGGGATAACATTTCAGTGATAATCCACTGATAATAAAGGAAGGAAACTTTAAAAGTGTTAATACTCATCCCTATATGATTGTTAAGATAAATGAAACGTGCTATTATAGAGATTACAAAGAAAAGTATAATAGTAGAAGTATAGCAAAACTGTATGTTTGACACATGCTATGTTTTTGACCTTAATAATGAAGTATAATAACTACATGTTGAATAATAAAGCATTTGTAATATTTTCTTGAATAATAACGAAATAGTTCAAGAAAGGAAAATGAATTTTGGTACAAAATCTCAAATTTTAGCCCCAAATCCTGCTTTTTTTCTATTGTTCTTTGTGACCTTGACCTTGTATGACCAAGTTCATGGTTGCAATCAATCGGGCCTCACTAGAACTAAATACCTAGACACTAAGTTTGTGTTTTTATGTTGCTTAGATTTAGAGATATGACATTTTCTAAAATTCTCATATTTCATCACTGCGTTGCCATGGAAACAGTCTGGCGCCCACACCCACCATTAATATTATGGCAAACAGGCAGATTTCATTAGCTGAGGGTCCCATCTAACTAAAAAACATGATGTACAAAAATCCCTAAGCGGGGGGATGGTTTCGGTTATTGGCCCCCAGTCTATTACACCTAGTATGGGCGGGTAGTATAAGGGTTCACCTGTCAAGATCACTATTTTCGATAGAAACTTTCACACACAGTGTTATTTTAAAGACATTGCACTATAGATCTGATCAATATATATTCAATGACCATATATGGTCATGTGACCTTATTAAAAATGCTTAACTATAATATCTTGAGCAATATTGCCGATATAATACGTTGTATTTTAATGAGAAAGTATGCAATAAATGCAATTGTACCTCCATTATAGATGTGCTGTTAATAAAGAAATTATGGTACTGTACCATTAATTTCATTGGTATAAATTGATGAATTTTCCAGTAAAACAATGAATTCCAGTGTTATGTTTTTACATTGTTTTAATTTAGCTGATTTTACCTATCAGCAAAAATAGAAAAATTAAAACCCTTTGAATAATAAATGCATTTACAGTATGTAAAATGTGGCTGAGTGAACCGGTTTTCAGATTAGAAGTGCACAATGAGATTTGACCACAGAATCGTGGTTTAAAATAACTTCTTCAATCTAGTAAACATATTCATGTGTTTTTTTAAATAAGAATTATGATGACAGTGTGTGTTTATGCATGGTTAGGTACACAACACCTTCATTACAAAAAGAAAACATTTTGTATTTTATATTCACCATCTCCAGTCAAAGAAGAGGATTGTTAGGACGTACACCAAATTTGGCTGATCCATTAAGCAAGACAAGTAGCAAAGCACAGGCAGATTACACCAAAGCTGTGCTGAGAGATGGTCGTGGTACATCATTTATTATTCAACCAGAGACAGGCATACTCCCACCATTTGGTGAACAAGTCATTGAAGTGACTGCGTATTCTGATATGTGGGGACAGTATAGTGATATTCTGATTTGTAAAGTAAGTACATGTGATACATTTCTGTACTCTATTGTAAAGTGTGTTTTCCGCATAACATATATAACATTACATATAAAAAAGCATCAACAATTGTGAGGATCAGTTGTATTTTGTATACTAGTAGTCTATTACATATTGGTTTTGTACTTTTATTATTATTGTTATTAAATCTTTATTGCATTGGAAAAGTTCATACATCCCATCCCATCTCATTAAAAAACAACAAAAAAACAATATATATAAACAAACAAAGAGAAAAACAAAACAAATATATAAAAAAGACTTGACTTATAAACAAATTCATTATTCTAGCGTAGCTGTGGTGAATACATAAGTTTACGGTAGAGAACATAAAACTTTGAACATAAATGCGTGTCAGATGATAAAAGCACTGCAACGATTCTAGTATCACTTATAGTTAGATGCGTGAAAAAAAACATGTTTCGTCTAAGAGCATCAAATGTAGGAATGTTGGAAGACACGAACATACCGCTAGCACTACAGTCTCTGGGTCAACCCAGGAATGAACGGAATGCATTATTATACGCAACACGGAGATCATAAATATTTTTACGACTATGTTGAAACCAAAGCTGTGAACAATACATGTTACAACAAAAGGTTCGGAACAATGTAATTTTAACATTACTGCAGCTAGAATATTTTCGAAGCAATATATTGGCTCTGCCGTAGAATGATCGAATCTGTCGTTTTATGTCTTCATCATCCATGCAATTATCAGTAATGACAAATCCTAAATAAACATGCTTGTGCACAATTTTTAGTTTAGAGTCACCAAGATATATGTGTGGAATGACCAATCCATATTCATAGCAAACATTAACAAGGGTTCGTAAACCACGGATGGATGGGCTAAGGATAAATGATAACGTCAAAAAATAATTTGTAAACTTGTTAAATAGGCAAATAGGGTTTGGGATGTCACATGATGACAATTTGCTCAAATCTACCATTGGGGGTGCTGTTGTAAGATAAAGAAATACAAGTTCAGAGTTTATACCGATAACATAGCTTTTTGATAGTATGGTTTTTCTGTCTGGTTTAAATTTTTTTAAGAATTATTCCTGTTATGAAGACTATTCTGAGCCCAGAATTGTCACTTTAATAAGCTGTATGCTTTGAATATTGAAGTTAAATATATTAAAATTATAGGTTGAAGATTTGGATCCTGTAATCATTCCTATTGAGATGACAGTAGTTGGATGCCCACTGAATTTTCAAATGATGGCTGCAATAAGAGGAGCAAATGCCAATCATCAGGTTTGGTACCCATGTGTCTGGTGTACAGCCAGTTACCAGGACCATGAGAGTCAATAACACCAGTCCATATGGTAAGTGTAGCAACTTCTATACATGTTAACATGCAGACCCTTTTTTTCACTCACATACACAGGTATTGAATTCACACCGTGACTTGCCTCAGTGCTTGTTGTGACTCTTCAGCAAAAACCAAGGCCTAAGCATGAGTGTCCGTGCCCCTACATTACATTTATTTCTGTTTGATATCACAGCTTATTTGTGTCACTTTTTATTTACAAACCAATCATACCTTCACATCACTGTACATTGCATGGAAGACAATATGTTGAAAAGATCACATTAGAACGGTTTTTAACTGGTGTTTTGATGGACAACCCTTTCTTGAAATGGCCTGTACAACCAGCTGTGCAATTTTGAATTCAAATAACATTAAATTACTGCAACTTGATTGAGTGAGTGAACTAAGGCAGCCATACTGGCACATGATGTGGACTATTCAGATGACCTTGGACATTGGAATACTGTAGAAATAATGTAGAAAAATAAAAAAGTTCTTCGTTACTGTAAATGTGTGCATTTGTTCTTTAAATCCCCCCAAATCACTTTTAAATGTAGAGACGAGTTCACTCATAAAATGGTTCAGTGTATTTTTATTTTTACAAGTACAAAGAGGTGATCACCTTCTTAGTAGAAGATTTCAATATTGTAATATTTCAATTTTGTTTCATTTCTCAGATATACGCTTGGATTGGCAGACATATAATCTTGGTGAGGAAGATAGTAAATTAGTAGATCTATTGTACAATATTGGAGATCCATTCCCATTGTTAGATGAACATGGGGAGGAGATTGTACCAACAGAAGTCATCGATGAACCACCTCCAGTTGAACCACCGAGAGATAAATTCTATGCGGAGACGCCAGACACTGAGTTGACAACACCAGGACAGCGTAGCTTAGCAACAACTCATGCACATGAGGAGGAGAAGAAACCATGGAAACTTATTACTATTAAAATGAGAGAACATGAAGGTGTCATGAGAACAGAACCATATGATATCCAGCCTAGACAAGTGGTGAGTCAGAATTAATTATTTAAATGGTAGACATATTAAATATTGTATCATTGTCAATGAGGAAATTATATATAGTTCACCATTGTAGCTAAATCTGTGCTGAGAATAGCTTTATTTTGAAAATAAATATAATGAGATGATAATAGCCTAGAATATATGTACATTCCAAGGTCCCAAAGATCCGAAAATGCA